CGCTTCAGAAATTTCATTTGCCATTTGAAAGCCATCGCAAACTTGTTTTAGTCTAATCATTTTCATTACTGTTATCGCCCACATTGAATGACTGCAATCGCATGAATGAGTTTCAAGTGATGTCTGAAAATTGCCTTAAACTGACCGAAATGCCGTTTGGCCATGAAACGAGCTGAAAAGGTTGAGCAAACTTTTGGCAAAAATGCGATGAACAACTACCTTTAATTTCGAGCTAACATATGACAGATATTTTAAAAATAGGTCTGCACTCAATGAAAAAGCACATGTACAGCATTGTCGCCGATAATAAATGGAATAGGCATTGTTACTTTGTAAGTATTGTTGGGCTGATAAGGCTCACTCAATGAGTTCATTGGCTGCAAAATGTTTTAACCGCGACATAGCAAAATCACATTGCTTATATGCTTATAGTTGTATATTTTACAATCGCAATAAATATGTACAATTCTGTTGTTTAATATCTACAACAATGGTTATTGTGTCTGCTTGAAATTTTTATGGGGGACTCAAGGGACTTAAGGGATTGTTGGACAGCTAGCTACTGGCAGGAGTGATCTTGCATTCATTTTTAATCAACTTAACACAAAACCAATTGGCATCAAATTATCACGACTTTTCTAAGTGAATAAAAAAAGGGCTTAAGATGCAGAAAATAACACAATTATCTATAAGGTTTGCAGGAAATAAATATGTTGATAAAGTAATTAAATGTTAGCTCATATTTTCAGTAGATTGATTGTCTGCAGCAGACAATTCGACACTATTCTGCAAACAATAATCGAGTCTGCGATAAATTGATTGCAGGCTAATTAAAAGAAAAATGGTAATGGAGTTTTTTTCAATTTCCATGCTTTGGAGTTCATATAAGGGCGCTGCTCCAAGACACTGCACAGCTAAATTTTGCATCACTTTCTTGTTAGTTTTAATCTACTTTTGATGTTTTTGGCAAAGGCTACGCATAGAGTTAGGCAGTCGAAAAACTTTTCTGCGTCTCTCACCATAAGTTGGTTTAACTTCCATTCCGTCATTCCAGTCCTTGGAACTCCATTTCGCCAAATAAATAATCATTTAAATATCTAGTTTATCTATTCACAAATTATCAGTCGCAATATTGCTCAGTATTGCCTTTAAATTTCAGTTAACCTGAGTCATTTAACACACTCCCACTCTCAATATATTTTTTTATTGTAAGCAAAAAGACAATGCGCTGCACTATTCTCTAGATACTCGTGTAGAGAGAAACACTCGCTCTATACAATCCACAAATTAATTCGGTCGAATAATTGCAATTGCATTTTACGTTGCCACTGCAATAAAAAAACAGTCAAATGCACTTAATTGTAGACTAATTGACTTTATTTATATATTTTCAAACAAGCATTTTGCGGAGGAAAAATGAGGTTTTTGCACAGCCGCAGTCATTCAGTCATTTGTTGAATGTTTCAATTAAATTACATAGATGAAAAACTTTTGCGGCAAGCAAATTGAAAATTTGCATTTGACATATAAAAAAGAAATGCAAGCAGAGGCAAAAATAAAGCAAGCTGTAAAGAGAGGAGGGAGGACATGCATGTGCATGTGGCTTGTGAAGCCAAATGCCTGCCTGTCTGCCTGCCGGCCTGGCTTTCTGTCGCTGCGGTCACAAGCCGCAAAAAGCATTTAACCCACATTCAGAGCACGGCAGCAACTTCATTCGTATTATGCAAAGTGGCAAGTTGGCTTGGCTAAGCCGGCTGCTCTCTTGGCTTAAGCTCTTGAGCATATTTGTGTTTTTGTGTGCGTCTGTCTCTGTTTATGTGTAGATTGGGCGCCGCGGAACCGCACATGTGGAATACTGAAAGACTCGTTGGACAGGGTGCTGCCTAAACTGCATTTTAATTTCATGTACACACTCACATTAATTAGCCAAAGCCATGAGCAAACATTGTGTCAATCACTCAGCTCGATTAGCATCACAAAAAAAGAACAATTCTATAGTTGCAGAGAAACTTAGTCTGAGAATTGATGAACTTCTCTCTTTCCATAGGTACCGCTCTTGCTTCGATTTATATGCAACAAATATTTTTCCATACCCCTAAGCTAAGTTTCTTAAATAATGAGAATTCCTTTTAAAGAGATTATAATCGAAATGGTTGATACGTATAATGAATGAAAGGTTCCACTAAAACCCAAAGACTGGAATTGGGATTTAAAAGTCGTGAACTGCTTAACCGTATAACAACTCATCGGTGTCCACAACGCCAACCAGCAATGTGCAGGGGTAATCCATTGATGCCACCAGTGTGTGGCGTCGTTGGTCTGAGTTGCCGCGTCCCATGGCGGTCATTTGCTGGCTGCCGCGACATTCGTTTGAAATGTGGCAACTTTTTTGCTTTGTTTGTCATGAAGCCCTAGAATATACAAACAATAGAGAAATAGCTGGTCATTTTATAAATTATGAAGGCTGACGCAATAACGAGTACAAAAAATGCGTTCCCAAATACGGTACATATAGTATTCCACCAAACCCAAATCAAATCAACTTGACATTTATAGTTTCAAGAATACGTGTATACGACTATATAATAAAAGCATTAATCATCTACGAGTATTACGCAAAATCTATATCAACAAGTCTTTTAAGACTTCATATAGAACTCAAAAAATAAAGTGAAGACTCAATAATAACAACAACAAAGTAACATACGACATTAAAATGATGGTGACATAACAAGTGCTATGACGTTCGAATGAACGCAGGCGAATCCTTTAAATTAACTGCAGTGCTTGGTTTTGGATAAACTAAAACTAAGCTGAGCTACACAGGCTTGGTAAGATCCGCAAGCTTCAACCGTGAAACAGATAAGCTAGTTCTGATATCCTATCAACCCTCTTGGACAACTTGAGAGAGAGCAAAGCCATTTGCATCCCATATCCTCATTGTGCGTCATTAGCGATGGCACATTATGCCGTAATGACCTCTGTTATCATCATTGCATTCTGAGTGCCTAGAATGTTGCCTGCCTACTCCTTCGGAAGCAGGTTCTGAAACGGAAGGCTTATGACCGATTCTGACTGACAATTACAGAATATCGGCTGAATGACAGAAGCTCAGTTTTATCGACCCGTAATTCAACATTCGTCCATTGTACAGCTAGCGCTTCCATCTTGTAAGCGAAAATTGCTCGCTGTCGTGTGAAATACATATATATAGGCATGGACTTGCCACCATGACCATGCCCTCATGGCGACGTCGGCTTATGACAGCGTCGCCATCACTGACACAATTTAAAATGCAATTTTCCATGCTGCGCTTTCATATGAAAAGCCAGAAGAAACAGGCACAGACACACAGCACGTGCGTTGGCCACATAAATTGGCGGCAAAATATATGCAACGATTAATGAAATAGAATAAATATTCAACGCCATGATGTGTATATAATATATGTTGTGCATATATAGTATTTGTGTTGTTATTGTTAATTTTGTTACTGTTGCGGCATGCAACAGATAATTTGCCAAGTGACTGACTTTTGACGACGTCGCTGACATCATTTGTGCGGGCGGTCGGTCGAGCATTTCCCTATATTTGCATGTTTATAGCTTTGCTCACTAATTTATGTAGCTTTTTTATTTATTCTCTTCTGTCCGTTCAAGGTTAAACTATGTAGGTTTCCCGCCAAGTTGCCTCAACAGTAGCTCTGTCTGGTGTTCAGTTGAAAGTAATGACGTCGCCTTAATAATAAAAATAGAATACCCTTTGGGCTCTGGCTTTAATTAATTGAAGAAATAATCAAATATTCGTAATGTAACTTTTCGCTTTTTCTTAGATAAAATAGAATTATTAAAAAAAGCATAGAAAATACAAGTCTCCATTAAATACATTATTGAAAAGTGGTTTGGGAAAATTATACCTCCACGTGGGGAAATCACTGTTCTTTGGAGATTTTTCCCGGCATAAAACCAAAACAAATTCATCGAAGAAAAGGTAAAGCCACCATTTCTTACGGGGCTGCTAAGGAGCACAGCTGCTTTGAGCCATCCATTTGGAGTTTTAAAAATAATAATAACTTCTCTACACTTTTGCCAACAGTGAGGTTCAATAACATATTCCAAAGCTTAGTCTGCCTTCCATCTATACGTATACAAGTACATGCATGCTAGTAATCTAATCAATGCCAAAAACTTCAATCGAGTTAATTCGATTGGTTTGTTCACTGTCTGTTTGGTTCACTGACTACATTTTGTTGTTCGCAAAAAGTTCCGCATCGCTTACCCAGGATACATCCATTGCCTCGGCTGATTCAATTTACGTTTTCGAAAAAGGACTGAAAGGCTTTTTGACTCCCTGTCTGTTTCAAGTTAACATGCTATCAAAAGAATACATGGGATACATACAAACATCAACCTCTCTTGTCATTCAAGTTTAAGCTTAACGTTAATATAAGCAATGAAAATCATTTTGAAAGCATTTCTAAAACCACGTCTACGAATCAGCACTACTACCAATTCATACTACTACAAATTACAAGATAAAATTCCATTATTTTACAAAGACTTAATCATTTTTATTTTAACAACACTCAAAATAAAATTTTATTGATATTTTTAAAATCTTTAAAAAAAACCAGCTCAGTCCCAAAAAACTACCATAGTGAAAAAAACATCAAGCATTTCAATACTTTACTACTACTATATACTTGTAGTTTAATAGTTTTCTAAGAACGGTACGAAGATTAAGACATAACTGTTTTTATGCCCTCAACTAGCTTTTTAGCCGTCGCTGCCGAATATTTCCACCTAATAGGTATATCCTTAATACCTATAAGCTCGCTTGCTAATCTAATCAAAATAATATATATTTGTATGGTAGTGCTTACCTATAGATGATAAAATAAGCCTTAATTGTTACTCACTTTTTTCACACTTTTTTCTTGCTTCGTTCAGCAAGGCTTTTAAGTAATTTGCTGTAAATTACATGTTTTCTTTATTTTGCAGATATTTTTTGGAAATCGAAACATTTTCACCAAATACATACAAGTACGTGCATGTGGAGCTCCAAAATGAAATTGTAACACAATGCTTGAATTGCTTTCTCAGCGAAACATTCGAAATTGAATTGAAACAGTCCTGTTAATTAACACAATAGGTAAGATATGAATATTTCATATTATTATTGTTTGTTCCCTTCTCCATAAGCGTGAATTTCTGTGTAGCATCGCAGCGTGAATTCGGGTGTTGATTTTCCTTAACAGCCAACAAACACAATAGACACACCTGATAGATGATGCCTGATGCAACAGCCGGAACAATGCGGCATTAGCGTCATTCATCACGACTTGCCACTTAGGCGATGAGTTATGGCACTTGTTGTTGATCAGCTGCTGCAGCCGCTTAGTTTTGGTTAGCATGTGGGTGCGATAAACTGTAAACTGCTCGTCGTTCTTCGACATTGATTACATACTTCATTAGTGTAATCTGCCATAGCCTGTGGCGCATGAGCGATCTATGTGGGTCAATGGGCGTTGCTGTCGTTACTGGCGCTGTGGCTTCTACTGCCAAGATGCTATTGACTTTTTTTTTTTCGTGTCCAGTTTGTTGCACGTCGAGCGCCTGACAAATTAATGCGCCACCACTTCCACTCCAATTTGTGTTCATGGCCCCAACCAGCAACGTTGTTTGTTCTCATCTTTTTCTACTTATTTTTCTTATTCTACCAATTTCGACTGTACTCTTTGTGCCACCACATGGCCAGAGGCAAGGCAAAGTGAAAAAACGCGCTCCTTGCCGAATTGCGCATTTTTTCTCTTCTAAAAATGGACGCTGCTTTGTTTCCGGCCATGGCGTAAATGTACGAAAAAATCGCGCGCCAACTAATTGAAATGTCATTCTGGCCGTCTAATTTATTAACAATGCAATTAGCTGGCTGATTTGCTCGTTTAGCTGGAGTGGGCGTATAAATTACAAAATTTGATTACAAATAAAGTAATTAAGTGCAAACAATTCCAACTTCAAAGCGTAGCAGCTGGCCAACTGATTTATTTATAGCAATTTGAAAGCACAATTTACACATTATAGTAGTATACGTGATTACTGCAAGCACAGAATTGTAAAACATATAATCGAATAATTTGTGCCTGTCGGGCATTGATTCGCATACATATTTAACACTGGTGGACCCCAGGGAGTGTACCTGGTGCTAGTCTGACTAAATCTAATGAAAGATTTAAGCAATTTTGACTAAAATTGCTGTTAACAATGGACTTTTGTTTGTCGAAAACTAATAAACGAATAATATGTACTGGTTTATTGCAATTGGAAAATGTGGAAATGTATTTACATACTTATTTTGCATTTTTATAGTTATTAAAAGACTAAAAAAACTTAAAGCGAGATTAAAGACAAAAAATGTGATATTAATTTATACTAAGCGAAGCTATAATCATGTTAATACATGTGATGATGCTGTTGGCATTTCTACACCACTATAAGAGAAATTGTCTTAATTTGTTCAAAAATACGTCAATTTTTAGGATCTATGCTTATGACCACAAAATATCTGATCAATCGAGCGCATATCATGACAAAGTGTAGTCAAGACCGAAAGAACCACACCAAAGACTGCACCAAAGTTGCTCGAAAATCAAAGTAATGCTGCATTATGAATTCCTTCCGTCAGGCCCAACTACTTATCAACAAGGAATATTATTTAGATGTTATGTGTCGTTTGCGTGAAGCTATTCTCAAAAGGCCATATTTGTGGAAAAGCAAACTTCATTTGCACCACGATGATGCGCAATCTTACATTGCTTCGTTATAAATAAATCAAGATGAATAAATAATGATTTGCACAGTAGTAGGGAGTGGGGGTTATTATTTTTTAATTTTTCTTTTTTCTTTTGTTCCTATAAATCTGTAAGCTTCTAACTCTTTGTTTCATTTATTGACTCTTCAAATTTATTTTTACAAGAAATACTATTTTGAAAGTCATATTTTCTTCCTCAGCTTTGTTCGAAAGTTGCTTAAAATACATACTTATTACCGATTACGCTCATAATTTAAGTTGTGATTTCAAAACGTAGGTCGGCTTCAATTCCTTCTATAGGAAAAGTTACTTTCAATAAACGATTCTTCTCCATTATTACCATAAAGTAATCAAAAGCTATCTTATCTATCTGATGAATTTTTGAAATTTTAGCAATTTTAAGCAAACAGATATGTATTTCGATAATGCATATCGGGACTTTCATATTTTAGGTGTGTCAGGTATGAGAGCGGAGTAACGTTTGAGTCGTTGAAGAGAGCAGACGTGTTTGCCAACAAGCGCAGAGCATTGCAGTTATTCTTTATTTAAGTTCACATATATTTAGTTTGATTAATCCTAATAACTGTGTATGTTATAAAGGGAAGATATGCATACAATTAAAGAACATTTTAACATTCTAACATTTCAAACTCAATACGAAATCTCAACTTCTTCTTCCATGTGACTTAATAGTTCAACTAATCGCGCTTTTAAGCTTCATTTGCCGTAAAGTACGTAAAGCCACCATTTCAATTTGCAGTATATTAAGAAAAACAAACTGAATATATTTACGTATCTCATATGTGTGTGTGTGAGTGTAAAGTTGCACGCCCTTGCACACACATACATTCACTTAATGTCAAGTTGAACTTTGAAGTGCACGGTGCGCACTTTGTGGCTTCAATTTCCGAGGCAACTCACAGCAAATCAATTGAAGCGTCGGATGCGCTACGTGCGCTGAAAGCGCTTCAATTAAGCGGCAATAAGCTGGCCGAACAGCACACATACACACTCACACATACACCAAACACTTGTGACACTTGCAAGCAGCCGGCCCCGCCCATTTGCAATGGATGTGATGTGGCACTTTTTTCCATTTTACCGAGGCACGTGTCAGCGTCATCGCCGTAACAGTTAAATCAATGCCCTAAACGTACGCCATTTTGTGGCTGCAACATGGCTCCCCATATAAATACGTACATACAAGCATGTATGTGTTTGTTTGTTTGTGTTCATGCATATATGTATGTATAGTATATATAGTATGTATATGTATATACATATATATGTCTGCAATCAGTCCCAACATTAATTAAACCACGAGCTTAGTTTGTCAGACAGCGAACGAGAAGCTAGCAAGGACATCATCCACAAGAACAACATGGACGAAATGTGCGGTTGCATTTAGGTTTCAACGTTGGTCGAAATGAATGAAACAACAGGATAGAAAATGATAGAAGCATGTCTGTTGGTCATGCTCTGCTGCGTCTTTTTGCGTTGCCTTAGAATTAATTCAATTTCGTGCAGAGTCCTTCGAACAAAAGTGTTTAGCAATGCTCTTTTATCAAGCAACGACAGCTTCTAGCCAAGTCATTGCCGGGCAGTTAGTCCCACAGCCTTCTTATTCAATTTAATTAAAGGGGAATGTACATTTCTGAGTAAAATACTTGTAATGTACACTTGTAAGGCTTGCATTTAGTCAAAGTGTGAGTAACTTTAAAGAGCCCATCTCCTAATTTGGGGAAAGACCCCAAAGTTGAGTTTATTATGCAGAGAAAGAGGCACATGCACACACAGTAAGGACGGCACTACGTTCCTTCACACACATTCATCAATAAAAATGTAAAGAAGAAGCTGTCGAAAGGCTGGCAGCTGACAGGACATGAACATCATCCTGGGAGTGTGGGTATTTATTAATTTGATTAAATGTAACTGAACAAACAGACAGAACACGACAACAACAGCAGCAACATAACCCACATATACAAAACATACATCCATAACACGTTTCTACGTATGTGCATGTGTAAGGCTTTCACATGATGACATTTACATAAGGCAACGCACACACACACACACAAATACACACCCACCCACACACAGAGTTATTGAAAAGCAAACAAGAATATAACAACAGTGGCAGCGAGAGCCAAAAGGATGTGCTAAAGTTTTCAGTGCGTGAGCGTGGGCGGTGGAAGGGAAATGCGTTATGGCGTTGTTTGTTAAAAGAAAATAACGAAGAATAATAGCAGTCCCGGCTCTCGAACAGTATATGTCCTTAACACTCTTATTAAAATTGCTCCAATTGATACAAATCTACCCGCTCCACTGAAAGATACTCAAGAGTCACAAATTTTGACTACGCCTCTTCTTAACTGAGCCGTTGACGCTCTAGTTGGCTTAATCTCCTTTGCATGCGAAATTTTTTCTTTTGCTTGGGCAGTGAAATTAGAAATTTAATTAGGAATTTCACTTCGAGCCCAATTTAGTTTAATAAAGACGACGAAGTCCATGCATTGGTTACAATTGCGTATAATAACATTTGCAATTAAGTTATTTTGATTTATATTTGTTTCTTTGATAAATAATAAAAGAGTTGTGAAGCAGTTTGACTTTATCTAATCAGAATAGCCGAGCTACCTATTCAGCACTAGGAGTTGCTTATGATTAGCTTTTTTTATACACTGCCCCCGAATGATGTACTAAAAAGTCGAAATATGAAGAGAGGGCGTGGCAGACCCAATGCTATCGGTACATATAACAAAACAAGACGAATCTCATCGAACTCGACCCTATATATTATATGGAGCTTCTAGTGTAATCATAGGTACAAAAAAGTGTATTTTAGTTGATTGGTTGTAGCGGGAAAAAAGCATATTCTACTCGTTTCTTTTAACGACATCAGCAAATAATAATATTACTAAGCTTTATAGCAAAAGATATTTTATTCATTTACTTTCCTTTCTCAAAAAATGTCAATTTTCTAGTCTAATGCCACATGGCAGCAACTATCTGCTTTGGGACCCACTTTTGTAATACTATTTTATACAAAACATTCCAAGGAGACAAGAAAAAATGAACATACAAGCCGGTAAAACTCTGAACGTCAGTTAAAAAATTCGAGAAATCAACTCGGAAACATTAACAATTACCTTTTCAATGTTCACAGCGCCTGGGTATAAATAGTTTTTACTCTGATTTTGTCTCCCAAGTGAACAAAAAGTGTTCTTAAATTGAAAAATTTTTCTGCCTTTATATGCATATTAAAAAGTTCAAACAAACTGACTTTTGTTGCAAACTATCTCTGCAAAGTTTCAGTATGCAAGGGTATTTACGAAAAGAAA